CTCTGTTTCAGGTACATTGATAGCACTCTGTAGATACAGATATTTAAAAAGGATCCAGGCCCTGTTAAGTCAACTAGATTGACTTCAGTGTCTACCTTTGAAATGCATTTAATTTCTTTGCAGTTCAGCCTAGCAAATAAAACTAGAGACATCCATAAACCTTAAAAGTGTCTTGCAAAGATTAGAGAGCCCTGTTCACACAAAGAAAGCTACTACCTGTGATTTTTTTTAGGACTGTCAAGCAGTGCCTCACTGATACGTACAAAATCGCAGAGTTCAGATACTGCTTTTGAAAACAGATGTAAGAGAGATTAGCAGATGTCCTTCACTGTAGTACATGGTTGAGTCATTTTACCAAACTCTATTTGAACCCATATTCTACAGTAATAAGAGAAACTATATTGTGTTTGGCAGCCACTGAGTGTCATGGACTTTCACTATTCCCGTAAAAGCTGATTAAAATTAATAGATAAATAAATAGAAATAGCTTTTTTAATTATTATTGTGAGAAAATATTTAACAAACAGGAAAGAGATGTCAACCCACACCGTAGTTGGGTACTGAAATCTGTTTATGTTTACCTGCTGTTGTTTGACAGTTTTCTGATGCTGGTGGAGCTGAAGTCAAATGCATGCTTTCCCATAGTAGGAGCAGGGTTTGCTAACTGTCTCAGACTATTGGACCTGTGAAATGGCGACTATTTAAGGAGTGCAGGAACCCCTAAAGCTGCAAGTAGTCATTTCTCAGATTTTGCAATACCCGGTCATGCAGTCTAATATAGTTAGAAGTCACTAGCCATTTTTTATTAGCAAGAGTGTTCAGTAGCCCTTTATTTTAAAGGAAAGTGGGAGGACAATTGCCACATAATAAAGCATCATCTCTTGCAGAATTAGGGACCTGTTTTTCAATAACATGAATTCCCAGACCATTGCCAAACATTGAACACTTTCCAAGATCAGACAGAACCGTCTGATAGATCCTGTAATATAATCATCCTCTTAACCCTTAGGTAATATTTCTAGAGTTGCATTTGTCTTACAAGAGATATAGATGTTCTTTACCATTTTTTAAAACATTGGCCCTGAAAATTTTCAGGGAGAAGTACCTTGTTTAAGTGTAACGAGCTCTTTCTTTCGTAAATTGGAGATCATCATACAACTCATGGAAAAGAAATGACCTTGTTAGAAGAAAAGCAAAAATGTCTTCCTTATGCTTGCAGCTGTTAAGAAGACTGTGAAGAATTACATGGACTTCAATGCTGAGATGGGATCTCAATTAGAGCTACATTCTCTCTAGCTGTGGGAAGGATGTTATCCTATATTTCTGCAGAAATGTAACCTATTATTAATTAAATCTGAGCCAATTTCTTTTTTTTTTTCACCGTTGTGTGATGATGTATTGTCATTCCAACAGTTATTCAACAGTTATTTGAACAGTGATCAAATATGGTGTCTGTACTGAGCATTGTCATATCTAATACTGTTGAATGTTGTAGTGCATTGAATATATTTGTAGCACTTTTGAGCAATAGTATTTAACTGTTTAGAGGTCAGAAGATAAAGACATTGGCAAAGAAGATGCCGGGTTAATCTCTGATAGACCTGTATCAATGAGAAAAAGAGGTATGTGAAAAGAAACCAAAGATCATTTTTTCTTAGCAGGTTTCTTTGCGTGTGTGTTCTTTCTGAGATAAAATGTTTTAAGCCTGTTAGCACAGGTGGAATGAGGAATCAGTGATGTCTTAAATAGGAGGATGGGCAAAATCTTATGTGCTGCTATGGCATATAGGAGAACCCACAAGTGTTTTGGTAAATTCTCTGAGAAAATACTAAACTGTCTCATGGTTAATCTTTCTATAATTCTCATACAAGCATGGCACAGAGTTGTGCCTCAAATACTTTTCCAAAAAAAGCCATGCTAAAATAAATTGTTTTCATTTTACATAGCTATAATAAATGGACAATTTTGCAGAAATTTTTTTGCAGAATTTTTCTGCTACTAATCTGATCAGGAAAACACATAATGGACAGATGACATTCAATTTCCATTGCTTCCTTATCCTAAGTGCAGTAGATGCCAAGATTTAAGAGCAAACTTACCTCCACTGAAGATGTGTCTTTAAAGAGATATGATCCAATATATTAAAAACATATATTTTTCACTTTCGGAATAAGAAAATAAAAGGTTAAGAAATTCAACCTTGGACCAGCTTTTTCAGTGTGACCTTAAATGAAAAAGTTGAATAAAATGTCTGATACATATTTCTGCAAAAGAAAAATGATGCTTTAAAATAATTAGTCATGCAGTGTCTGATATCCAAATTACATAGCACTGATTTTGTAAATGCAAAATTCACTGTTATCAATGTGAAAACAATTTCATTTGCTTCCTCCTAGTAGAGAAAGAATGTCATCAAAAATTCATGTAAACACACCACAAATTAATTTTTCACCGCTTAATGAAATAGTTAACACTATTTTAAGTTGTTTTTACTAATCCAGGAGATAATCCAAACAAGGCAAGCACTTAGTGCTACTGAAATTTCAAGCATTATTTACATTTCATTTTTAAAAATGTGGAGAAATTTCTGCCTTAAAGCTGTTTTTATTTTAGTCTTGAACATTTCTTCCAGGGTGTAACTTGACTGGCAAGTTAAGCTCAAATACAATTACATTACTAATCATGTGGAAAAAAAACAATTTAAAAGATTTGTTTCACGGTATTGTAACCCGCTATGTACTGTGAGAGCGAATTAAATTGTTTCAGATATATTTTTCACTTTTAGTTTATATCCTTAACAGATAGGCAAAAAGTAATTTGTTATTCTTTCTCTTTATAACATAATTGTCTTATACAAATTAAATTATGTGTTACAAGTTAGCATTTAGATTTTATACACTTATGCAGCTTCAGCCAGTTCCATTTCAAGTAAGTGACTGTGTTCCTTGTAAATTCACTGCTTTTCTTCAGGAGTGCCTTCATCTCAAGCTTAGTCTATTCTATCTATCTATCTATCTATCTATCTATCTATCTATCTATCTATATTCTATCAAAAATCTGTAAGATTTTTGAGACCATTCTCAATGTCTGTTGGCCTTAAAGAAAGTGGCACTCTTCAGCCCTTTTCAGGCATAACCTGAAATGCATGATAATACATAATATTCTTGTATCTTTCACTATTACAATTAAGAAACAAACTCTGTAGAATTACAGAATGGCTTGGATTGGAAGGCACCTTAAAGACTACCCAGTACCATCCCCCTGCCATGGGCAGGGCTGAACCCCACCATCTCAGGCTGCCCAGGACCCCCATACAACCTGGCTTTTAGTGTCTCTGGGTATGGGGCACCCACAGCTTCTCTGGGCTGTGCCAGCACCTCCACTGTCATCTCCAAAATTTCCTGTGTCCAAATATTTTTGCTTTTGTGAATTTCACTGCAAGAATATGTTTTCCTCCCATAGAGGTCCCTCAAAGTTTAACCAAGCAACACATATCAATTTATTTCTGAAGGAGTATGTGTATTTTTCAAAATACATATATGCATTATGTCAAAAAATCGTGCCTTAATTCTTTTGTTGACATTTTAGAGCGCAGATTTTGCACTTCTTCTTTCCTTTTCTTTCCACTCCATTAAAAGTTTTTTCCCTGATGATTGTCATCAGTAGATGCATAAAACATATCTTTTTTTTCTCACTATTTCTCAGAGAAAGGCAGTCTAATTTCAGAGGTGACAGATAGCTCCTTTATCAGAACAGAGATCCCTTTTCTGTGGTTCATTGTGTACAAGTTAATATTGACAGCTGGTGAAATGTTTTTGACACAAAGGGTTCAGTTATTCTTTCCCTCATTATGGAGCAGAAGAGACCTGTTCTGTTTTCAGTGTTTGCACATAATTGCTTGTCTTCCACCAACCTTCAGGGTTAATTCACTAACTCAGAAGGCATGTTCTGCCAGTTAAAATTTATATGTGTCAAAAAGAGAGTTTCACTGCACAGGGAAGTGTAACGCAGAACTGTTGCAACATAATTTGTTTTCTCTGTGATGCACCAACCATGAATCTTGGTATGGAGGAAATGACTTACATGTCAGCTTCTGGGGAAGGAGCTATGATCAGATAGGGATGATTGTGAGACAGCTGGATTTGGCATTATGTCCTTTTTTAGTTAGTACTTAACAACTGGAGTTCCTTAATTCATTGCTTTATCACAGTACATTGCTGAAAGTTAACTTGGTGAAAAAAGTTCTGGGTCCCCATTAAATGCAAGTGTTAATTTCATTAAAGGTGCAACCAAAACTCAGGCCTGCAAATCAGATCTACGTGTTTTTAATACAAGTATGTCTGTGTTTTGCTACTATTATCTGAGGGATGAGATGTAGGAATCACAAATCATCACCGGGATACAGCATTTACCTAGCAGCATTCGCTGCCTTTAAAATCAGCCACTGTCTCCTTTGCCTTCATGGTAGAGCACTGTTTGCTATCTTGTCTCCCCTTAACTGTTGCTGCCAGCTTAGCATAAATGGCCATTTGCAGGGAGTTAGAGATCAAGTCTTCACTTCCTCATGCAATCCCTTCCTGCAAAACACCAGTGTAATGCTATTCCTTCTCTAGGTTTTATTGAACAGTTCCTTGGTCAGCTTCAAGTGTCTTACCACATTTAGTTTTTTATTCCTCACTCTCTCATAGTGGTTGGTACACTGGGAGTTTGCCTCCCTGTGTATTTTGTATGAAATGAGCACCATCATTGGCAGCACAGCTGCTGTGTGCCAGCCTTGAAACTGTGGCAGCTCCTAAACAAGCAGCTGGCAAGAATGAAAGACTCCTGCAGCACTGCACTGTGAATTGACTGTGATTTACCTGGCAGTTAGGATGCTTTAATTCAAAAAACCCTACCACAACAGAGTGTAGATAATCAGACACCTGTGCTGTTGTACTGCCTTTCCACTTTATGCATGCTCCATCTGACACTTCTTTCTGTGCTTTCTCCCATTCATGCAGTCACCTACTTCTGGCGACAAGGATGACCAAACACTGACGGTAGGCAGCAATTAGTAGTTGCATGAGCATTTATTTCTCAAGAGAGTGGTAAGGCAAACATTTCTTTATTTTGGCACACATCAGCATTTGTGTGTATCATTGGGCTTTCTTTCTCCCCTCCTATGCAAATGTAAAATTTAAATATTTAATTTCCTGTGATAAAACTGAATTCCCGTGTTCATTTTCTATCATTTTGCATTTAGAATTTGTAGGATACCAAAGATTAATGCACATATTCTGCTTTTAATTCAAAACAAACAATGCCTTATTTTAGTCAAGTTTGAGTTTTTTTCTTCCTGTAATTGGGTTCCCGGACTTTCTAATCCAGCAGTCCATTGGTTCTGATTATTGTCTTTATCTGAACGAGAAAACTGCTCTCCACAAAGCAGTCTTAGTCAACATGGTATGCTAAATGCATCATTTTTGGTATAAGACAATGGCTTGGGGAAAAGAACCTTGGGGAAAAGAACCTATATGTTTATAAGTTCCTTAAAATTATGCAAAAGATGCTTGAATATAGGCTGTGTGGTGCATTCACTGCCTTACCACTCTAACAATCTGTTTATGTAATCATTATTTACTGAACTGAACCAAAGTGAGACATACTTTTGACTGAACTTCAGGATGTTACTCTCAAAAAAATGGTATCAAGACTGTGTATTTGCAATGCACTAGAGGCATTTAAAATTAAAATTTACTTTTGAGACTTGACCACAAGGTTCTGCAGAGAAGTAAATTATTAATTCCTGCGGATGACATTGTAAGGCAATGATTTTCTTAATGTTTGAAGAATTTTCACAGGGAAGGATTTTTTTTCACCTCTCTTTTCCTAAGCCTTGTGAGATTAACAATTTATTTGATGAACTGTCTCCTCCAGATAAATTGGCTATATATATAACAATGTTTAATAGAGTGTGTGGTCTAATATAATATGCTGCACATAATGTTGGAAAATGTTTCACTATATGGCAAGATGTGAGATTAATTTGTAGTGTTTCAGGCCAACTTCTATATGAAACATAACTTCAAACAAAACATAACTTCTGTCCCTTATTTCTCAACTTAGACCAAGCCACGGCTCCAGCGGGGAGGAAGCTCTGCATCTCTCCACAACAGTCTGATGAGGAACAGCATCTTCCAGCTCATGATTCACACACTTGACCCACTGGCAGAAGGTATGCCTATTAATTTTCTTTTTTTCTCCTTGTTAAGCTATTTTCCACTTTTTTTTTTTTCTTTTTTTTTTTTTTCTTTTCACCCATATTTTCTGAATGTGTGTAAATTTTCTGTTTTGTATTCGAATGGCAAGATATGCTTACTTCCACCAAAACTTGCAACTTAGGAAATTTGTTCATTGCAGTGGTAACTAAAACTGATCTCTTGATTGATACCTATCATGATTACTGCTTTCTTACACCTCTGTTTTCAGCAGCAACTTGAAAGTCACAAAACTTCAATCATCTTGTACTTCTGTAGAGTTTTTTGTTTGCTTTTGTTTTTTTCCCAGTCTTGATCTTATTATATCAGGTTAAAATTAAATAAAAATAATAAAAAAGAGAAAAAGGCCAAACCAATGAGTAATGTGTCCTGGAATTATAGAAAGGGATGAGTCTCTACTGGTCTGACTTTGGGTAGATTAACAGTGAGATTAAAGAAAATGAGCCAAACATCCCTCAATGTAACACACATGTTATCAATTTGCTTGGTTTGTCCAAGTTTGGTGTAATTTTTGATCTGTGAGAAGCTAGCAGGGAAACCATGATTGCTTTGGTATCAGAAGGTGTCAGGAAAACTATAATTGCTTTGCAGTTTTGGGGTGATTTGAATCTGCACTTTCGGTAGACTTCCAAATAAATTCAAGGCCAGACGTACATTAGATGTGTATGTGTATATGTGTCTATAACACTTCTTCCTGGAGTAACAACTGTCTTGAGAAATAGCAATTGCAAAAATTGTATGAGGTGCTAAATAGGCATGTTACTGACAGTTATAAATTCCGAATGCTGCCAATCATGAAGTACATACAGCATTTTCTTTCATTTAGGTTCCATTTATGTTTCTCATTTTAACATTACATACAGCTTTTTAAGCTGCTTTTCATGTCAGGACAAGGCAAATATACTTTTCCATTTCCCTCTCCAACAGATGAAGTTGATGTTCATATTGTCAATACAAGGGCAATTTTAGCTCGTGCATTCTCTACACCATTATTTTCACTCTGATTATGATCCATTGCCACAAGAAAATGTTTTTGCTTTGGTTTGTGCTGTTTGCTGCCAAAGCCTGTTGCGTGTTAGAGCGGAGCCATCAACAGACTATGCTCTGTTCTCATAAATGCTGGAAAAGGACTATGTAATTTATTGTAGATAAACATTTAGCTTCCTTTATTTCCATCACTGTAGCAGGTGAGTTGGTTTTCTTACTGCTGCAAACTTTCCTTTCAAATCTCTTCTTTACCCATCTGTTAGTCGAGCTTTGTCTTCTGCTAGGAGAACAGACATCCACTCAGAACATGCAAAAGAAAAAAAATTCTGACAGTCCCTCTCACTCCTCTTTTCCCTGAAAGCAATGCTTCTGGGTTGAAGATATGCCAGATATGTTAAGTAGCGCTAAGTGGTGACAGAAACGATGAACAGAAATCATCAAATCATTTCCAAAAGATAGAACAGAAGTGGGCTGGGAAGAACCTTTTAGCAGAGACAGATTGAGGACCTAGGCTGAAAACTGGAAATGCTTACTGGAGTTCAATTTGGGCTTAACAAAGGTTCCACAATTAAAATCAGTTCTCACCTAATATGTATTTCTTCACTGTTTAAGGTTGTTCCCCTAAACATAGGTTGTTTAGCATTCAGATTTTATTCCAGTGCTTTTCCCCTCTAGCAGCACTGTACCACGCACTGTACAGTCTTCCCTGTTTGGGACAGCACAGGAAAAAAGGTTTTCAAAACATGAAATCTGTCCTGAGTTTTTTGAAAACCAATTACTGTAATTAAGTATATCAGGTAACTCTGTGCAACTACTCATTGTGTCAGTAAAACTTTTGAGATCAATATGGATTGATAGAAATGACTGCAAAGGATAAATTTGACTTACAGAAAAAAATATAGTCGTGGTTTGCTTGCTCACAATAGCTTTTTTTTTTTTTTTTTAACGTGTGTCCAAACTCTGAAATTTGTCTTAGAGCTGACGTTCTTCAAAAGTCAGAATGTAAAGTTGGTGGTCCTTATATGAGTACTAGGCACTGATATGAAACCTGTATCTTTCACTAAAACTGACATGATGAGTTTGAATTTACAAAATAAAACAAAATAATAAAAACATTTGCAGTAAATATGGTGTTGTTATGTACAATTATCAGAAAATGTCCAAGAAGTATGGAAACATGGAAAACGCGGTGCAGACATTGGATGTGGTATTGACATCAAAGGAACTAAACTTTCAAATATTCACCCAGTACACAAAATTAAATTTGAGTTAATGAAAGCCCAGTGTGCAATTCAGTAAACACTTTTGCATTTGCAGCTTTGGTTTTATTTTTTTTACCTATATGTCCAGATATATTAACTGTTGTATTCTGCCAGACCTTATGTTCATTAATGCTTTCTAAGGCACCACTTCTTTTGTGGGGAGGCCTGGCTTTCAAAATGTTTAGTTTTGCAGGTGGTTTGGAAGACATGCAGTCAGGTTTCAGCTCACCTCTATGCTCATTAAGATCATGGCGGAGATCCTCCAAGAAACTGTGTCAAGGTGATAGAAGTCAGGGAATGATTATGGACAGCCAATAGGTCTTCATGAAGAGCAAATCATGCCTGACCAACTGGCTGGTGTTCTACAACAGAGTGACAGTACTTGTGGTCAAGTAAAGAGTAACTGATGTTATCTACTTTGACTCATCCAAAGCTTTTAATATGGTTCCACACAGCATTCTTATCTCTGAATAGGAGAGACTTTGAATTTGATGGATGGACTATTCAGTGGATAAGGAATTGGCTGTGTCTGAAGAGTTGCTGTCAATGATTCAAGGTGCAGGTGACAAGTAATGTCTTCAAGGGTCCATCGTGGGCCTGGTGCTCTCTAATATTTTCATTACTGATATAGACAGAGGGATTGAGTACACACTCAGCAAGCTTGCAGATGACACCAAGCTGGCTGGTGCTGTTGATACAATAGAAGGAAGGGATGTGATACAGAGGGGCCTTGACAGGCTTCGTAGGTGGGCCTATGCAAACTTCATGACATTCAACAAGATCAAGTGAAAGGTTCTGTTCCTGGGTCTGGGCAGTCCCAAATGTCAGTACTGACTGCATGATGAATGAAATGAGGGAGACCACTGTATAAGGCCTTGACTAAGTTGGTGGATGAAATACCTGTTTTGGATCTGAAGCAAAGAGAAGTATATGAAAATGTTTTGAAATGCCATTCTTAGAGGAAGAAAGTATTAAAGTTCTAAATCAAAGCACATATGTGAGCACACCAGCAATCACAGCATTTGGGCATTCTCCTATCATCCTTCCTGTCTCATTTCTTCTGTCATTCATTATTACTCCCTTCTTCTTCCTTGCTTTCTCTTTCTCCATTTTGCTACCATTTGCTTCCTTTCTTTTTTCTCTTATTTTCCTCATACTATTTTCTCTCATCTGCACCTGCTTCCTTTCACTCTTTTCCATTAGGATGGATTCCTCAGTAATTGCATTCCTTCTGTCCTGCTGTTTCCTTTAATAGAAGCACTTTCCAAGTGGACACTGGCAGCACTTCAGCAGATCCAGCCAAACAAACCAGATATTTAGTCTCCAGAAAAGCTTTTGTGAAGTCTGTCACCAACATGTTTCACCCTTCACAACCTCTAGGTGTAATGTTGCCATCAGAGCTAAAACTTCTTGTCACCATGCTGCTGGAATATCCAGCTTTCCTTTCAGTCATTAATAAAATTGTTACTTTCTCTTTAATAACTACAAGGAGAAAATGCTTTGTCATTTTGGCTTCTATGGGCTTGCTAAGGCTGACAGAGCAGAAGTACCATCTAAGCCCTCTTAGTGGTAGCGTGTTATAGGATGTATAAACAGATGACATGATTATTTAAGGTCAGCTTGGCCTACACAGTGTTATTTTTACATTATCATGTGATGTAATATAGAAAACCAATTCATGCTCTTTACTTCTGAGTAATTCATTTGTATATTCACAACCAAATTCTGCTTTAACAGAGAGCCTCTGGAAAATGGTTGTAAGCTGGAGAATATTAAAAGATAGATAAATGAGTTTAAGAAGTTTTTACTTTCTATAAGATACAGATGAACAGTGATCAGGATATAAAATTCTACACTTGTGGACTTGTTTTTCACCCTGTTTCCATCAAGTGTGCTTTTACCATGACCTGTGCATGTCTTGTTGAAGACAATATTAAAACTTGGAGAGCAGAGAGTTGCAAATTATTCAGCCCAGCTCTAACAGATGAATAAGATCTGAGATCAGTGGGAGTCACTGGATGTTTGGAACATTGCATTCAGGCAGATGTGCAGACATGCTGCAGATATAACAACCTAAGACAAGAGAGGCTTCTCCTTGGTCTCAGTTTAAAGCTTCTAAGAAGATAAAGATCAGGTTCTTTAACAGGTGCATGTGTAGGTTATTCGTTAGCTATATATCAGCTTTAAACCTCATTGTTCATTACAAATATAAATATCCATATGATATTCATTTCTGTTTGCTTTTGTCTTGTTAAAGGTATAATGACCTTGGTAGAGATCATTTCCTGGAGATTAAGATTAATGATTGCCTTTGCATCAGGCTATCATCTACTCCCAGCCAGTCAATAATCCCCAGGAAATCCTGTGCCAAATTTGTTTCTGCTTAAGTGCTGCTCTGGCAGTCGTTTATTCACCCAGTAGCAACCTGGACTGTTCTTAACAGCATTACTCATTTGAATAAGGACTGCATCATCAGATCAGCTGTTGTGATCAAACCCCAATCCAAAATCCAAGCACCTCAAACATAAACCACAACATTCCTTTATCATTTGTGGAGGTACCTCTGTCTGAGTCTTGGTATTGAGATGGGTTATGATTGGTTTCTTGGGTTATGTACGGGTAGGATTTACTAACAACTTTTTTTTTTTTTTTTTTTTTTTTTTTTTTTTAATTGGGAGACAGCTTTAGTTTTGCATGGAGGAAAATCC